GCTTTTGCCTCCAGCAGAGCACCCAGATGCCTGTCGGTTGTGTGCTTTCTCCAACTCGTTGCCCTTGGTGGGCCCGACGTACACGATTCTGCTTGGATTCTGGATACCGGCGGCTGGGGCCTACCGCAGACACAAATCAGTTCGAGTTCAAAGAGAGTGAGCTGGCAAACACTAACCACGCAATTGATGTAGTAACAAGCATTGTTGCAAGCACCCTCTCCACCCTTACAATTTACGGTCTGTTTGCCGAAATCTGTCCCAGCGCGCTTCACGAACATTCTGTCTGCCCTTCCGGGTGCTACTATGTCGGGCATGTTGTTGCCCTGCTCCAAGCCCATCGAAGCCTGGAGTAGCAGAGAGATAGCCACGATGTAACGCATGTTGGGCAACGGAACGGACTTGTTTGACGAGTAAGGTATTGGAAAGCTCGGGAGGAAGTCAAAAGCGCAAACTGCGTTCAGGATGCGCGGAAGAAGAAGACTGATAACGGAGAGAGCTATCAAGCTGGAGAAATGTGCTGGTAGTAGAGAAACATGAGTAGGATGTTGCAACCTCTTTTATACCAATGCGAGACCACGTCTACCTCAGCGCATTCTACCATCATGGTCATGACTTCGATCCTGGCGGCTGTATCTTGGGGGCTGCATAATACGTTCCCCACAAGAAAACATACTCTCGTGGTGCTCATACTCGACATAGCACCCAGGCGTCCATCAGCGTAGACTCGCAAGTCAAAGTCTGACAGGCCAAACAGCCCCGGCATGTCCTGAGTGCGAAGAACGCCTGACTACTTTGAGCGATACGGCCACATGCGTAGGTAATCTTAGTATCTAGAAAAGTGGGATATCGGGGGGCCAGGAGCCGGGCGATGGTATGCGTAGTCAGCGTGTACGAGGCAGTGATCGTGGGGCTGTCTACGTTGCCGCCAACAATGTGCGACAAGGCTGAGTACATGTAACTCGAAAAAGATTGCGATACCCACACAACCATGCTAGTGATGCAGTCGTGATTCGCCGCGTTGAACGTTTCGGAGTTTCGGGATCCTCGTCTTAGCTTACGGTGCAGGTGCAGGTCAAGAATAAGGTGCGGCGCAGCTGCGCAGCGGGGGGCCTCGCGTAGGCATCCGCTCCGCGTCACTGCCTGTGCCTGCGAACGCATGTGACGTCAGTGAATAGTAAGACCATTAAGGCCGCGACTTCGTCGCACCAATAACTCCGCAGACTTTGTAGCTTTCTGACTTTCAAATAATAACCACAACCTTGCACAAGCAATATGTCAGACCCTCCCTACGCGCTCTTCGTCCTCGACAAGAGCATCACCAACGAGGTCAGCACCGCTGCATCTATTGACCATGTGCACGATAGTAACAATCACAGTATCTAAACTCCGTCCTTGAGCGCGCCCACCATGGCGACGGTGGTGTGGACTGGAACTTCTGGGTCGCGACCGGTTCTTATGACGACCTACCCGCATGCCCCGAAGTCCACAAGCCCTCTCCAGACACCGGCACCCAGCCCCCCGTCGCATCCTCCTTCGTCTCACCCTGGCTCGGCAAGACGCCCGAAGATTGCGCAAAGTGGTTGCTGGCGATGCCGCGCACCCAAGATACGGATGAGAAGAAGTTTAGGGTTGACACGCCTGTGAGCGACCTGTACTTTGTTTTCCTCAACGAATTCTCCAAGGACGAAGATCTCGTCTTCGTCGCGCGCGTTGTCGAGGAAGATGGAAAAGAGATGAGAGTTGAGTATTTTCCGCAGTCGACGGACAAAGTACAGAAACAGATGTGGACGATTTTGCAGTTCGACGAGAGAGCGATCAACTACCAGCGCAGGCAGTTCAGCAACAAGGAGCCGGATCGAAGTCAGTACAAAGCGCCCAAGGACTAGAGGTGTATAGTAGTAAACTCTCGCGCGGATGAAAGAGGCTGTCATTGCATACATGAGAACTGATGGCGGCGGTAGATGATTTCATCTCTCTTCTTCTATCCATGAGTCGCTCTCCATATCTATTCTTAATTCCATCGTTCCACAAGGAAGCTCAAGTTGTCCATTGCGCAAGCTCCTGCCGACCGCAGTCGCGCCAGCTGGCAATTGTAGTGTAGCTGCCGTACCAGTCGGTATAACAATCGTGAAAGCAACGCTCTTGCCGCTCAACGTCCACGCCACCTTAATCGGTCCGTTGGGTGTTGGCACCGTCCCGCTGACTTCATATTGATCCAGCAATCCTATCATGGGAGTGATAAGAACCGTTCGGTACCCGGGAGAGGTTGGAGCGACGCCAAGAAGGTACTCTGGCAGTACATACGTCGGAGCTGCACCCCACGGATGCGCTAAGCTAGTGAAGAGATCGATGCCAGGAGAACCATCGGGCTTTACGTATTCCCAGCTCGCGCCAGAGTAATACTCGTTCTTGTTGACCATGCTACCCCACAGATTGTCGAGCAGATGCTTGATGGCAGGTGTGCTGTCCACTCCGAAGTCGCGCCTTGACTTGAATAGAGCTTCCAACAGAAAGCCTGATGGATTGGGAGCAAGTTGGTAGTCGTCTGTCTCCACGTCACTCGAGATAGTCTTGTAGCCTACTGCGAAGCGAAGCTCCTCAAGCTTCGCAATAGAAGATGCTGCTTGGGTATCGTTGGCCGCACCAGATAGGATTGCCCAGGCGATCCCGGTCAAGGAGAAGTTACCTCGATCGGTGGTTGAGAGTGAGTATGTTCCGAGCTGATCATTCCATAGCTCGCGATTGAGCGCCTCGCGCAACTTGCTTGCCGTTTGGGAATAGTTTATCGAAGCCTCTTCGTCGCCCATCGCAAGCGCAAGTGGCGCGATCTCCTCAAGCATGTAAGCGAAGAGACCGGTCGTTGCACTACCGTTGGCTGGCCCCAGGAAGCTGAATGGCGATGGCACCTCCGGAGAACCTCCAATGAGACCAGATGAGGGATCAATAAAAGCCAATCTCGCGGTCGCAAGTTTCTTGATCTGATCCCAGTGAGGTTTCAGCCCGTCGCGGTCTCCGGTGTAGCGGAAGTATTGGCCGATTCCCGCCAAGAATAGGTCTTGGTAGTCCACCAACCCAGCGTAGTTTGCGATATTTGCTTCCTTGTACTGGGGGCGGGCTCCAAGATTCGTAGAGATTTGGGTAAAGCCGGCGTACGGGCCATCATCAAGCTGAAAGCTTAGCGCGTATATGATGGTGCCCAAGAGGTAGTCAAATCGAGCAGATGAAGCTGCGACAACACGCACTGTGTGGTAAAAGTCTCCTGTCCAGACTAGCCGATCCCGTTTGGCGCCATCCAAACAGACTGAGTGTTCTAAGGGTGCGACCTGATACTCGGCCAAGGTATCTTCGCTCGTCAGGGGATTGCGATACATGGTAGTGCCGTTTCCAGCAGTGACAGTTACGTCTTTGTGATACGCGATCTGGTCCTGCATGCCTCCGAAGCCCCATGTGCCTTGGTATCGAGAAGGTGTGCCAAAGTTCCCGGGGGGTGCAGGCGGAGGTAAAGGTATGAACGCAATCTCGGTTCCGTTTACGCTTACCCGATATCCAGTCTCCTCGATTGATGTGCGCACGCGATACCACATGTTCTCCTTGATGGTTGTGTTGATAGTAAAGTACTGGGCTTCTGGCACGGATAGTGTGCTCTGGTTTACTAGACTCCATCCAGTAGTGAACGCCAGTGTGTTTGGAGGCAAGAGGGTTCGGTTGGTGTTTGCGAGCGTGTTCTGCTCAGGGTATTCGGATGTAAGCACGAAGTAAGGCCCCAGTGGCGGCATTGCACTTGCTACTCTCCAGCCTGCGCCGCCGCGGGCGATCTTTACGTCGAATTCCAGTGTGTAATTGACTGCGTCAACTCCTAGAGAAGATTGCGCACTGGTTTGGCCCCGGATATATGCTCCTTCGTTTGTGGTCTCCCACGTGGATGGCGCATTTCCGGCATCTACACATGCTACTTGAGCGACGCGACCTCCAAGGTCCAAGACGCGATTCAAAGTCTTATCGGATGTCTGTAAGCGGCCTGGTAGCATTTCGGCGTCCAAGTTTGAGCTTGTTGCGCGAAATCCCAGATGATCAATCGTGACGGAGCCATTTGTGATCAACCGTGCGGTCTGCCATCGCTGGCCTCCTTGGACGAAGAAGCTCTCGATGTATCCCGTTTCCGTGACGTTGAAAGTTTCTACTCGGAAAGAGTTGGATAGTCCATTCGAGAATGTCCAAGGCCCGTCCGAGAAGGGCTCTTCCACGCCACGGTATTCTTCGCTGTACTTTACTTCGATCTGCACCGTTCCAGAAATTGCTGAAACGTGGAAGAACGGGAAGCCGGCTACCTCAGTGCCGTAGTCGAGTGTAACGAGTGGGCTATCTGGCGATAGGATCAGGGTTTCGTTCGTCCACGGCTTCAAGCCCGATGATGAGGGTGCAGATTGCTGTAGGTGTGATTGAGGTGCAATTGAGCCATATTCGACAAAGCTATTATGTGAGTGGACGGTCTTCTGTATGTATCACTGGAGCCTTACGCAGTCGTCAATGGGTTGACAAGAATTGTGATAATCGCAAAACGCTGAAGAAGATCCATCGCTGCTTCCGTGCGAGGTGATCTTGACAGGGCTTTCGTTGGCAATGCGGCCGGACCATGATTATAACCAGCGGTCGTCCCTACAACAACAACTGATGGTCGGAAGGTGGTGGAGAAGGAATAGCCGATGGAATGGTGCCTCTCGGTGCAAATGTAACCGACGCGATGTAGCTTCGGCAGATATCCGCTCACCATTGGCCAGTTCAGTCGGAGCGTTCTTGAAACTAAGGGTTCTCTGGGCAGCCGGGTACCCCGCACGGGGACTTCCCCACAAACCATCGTATCTCGTATCTCGTTTTGTGCAGTTATCGTACGGGGAACCTTTTCTAGTTTCCGTCATAGGGTACAGCCTGGATGATGCTCGGTCGGGCTCGGTCGGGTTCGGAGCAATGCTTGTGGCCGCATTGACGTTGCTTTTATCGTGCTACGATTCTGCGCTCTTCTCGAATCGTGTGAAATCTTCTCTTAACATATTTTGCAGAATTGTACCCGCCCTCGCAGACTGCGCGATAGCATCTTCAACGGCTTGTACATCGCTCATACTGATCTGCAACGTCCCGGACAAGAGCTCTTTGGTGATGTCATCTCCTGTTGTGACTGTCATCTTCTTCGTACCCGTGATACCCAAGTCGACCTTTGTGGTAGTCGCCCACGGTGTGCTGTACCACAACCACATCTTCCCGCCGCATGGTATCCAGTACCGCCAGCTAATGTTGTAACCCTCGTTCGCTGCGCCTTTGGGTCGGAAGTTGGAAGGCAACGTCGTCTCGGGGTCCGGGACTTGTTCGTCGGCGATGCGACCGGAGAGCACGCGACACGACGGTATCAGTTGTATCGCGCCAGAGACACGGACAGCCAAAATACATGAATCGTAAAGATCCATTCCGGCCAGAGGCGAGCCCATGAGCCATGCGACACTTGAGAGTAAAGTGTCACCAATGACGCCGACCACAGTGACGCCCAGCTCCGATCCTGAATCTGCACGCGTTGGAAGCTCGAAGTAGTCTGTGTACTCCAAATTGGCGTCGCTCAAGAGCCTCCCAATAATCACGGGATCTTGTGCGTCGTTTGCATAGCTAAGCACGCCGCGGGGGTGGTTCAGAATTTGGTGCTTCGACACTCCAACCGCCAGTCCGAGTAGCCGCAAACTTAACTCGGGTGGCCGGTTCTCGTCCGTTATGTTCGGTGTAATGATGTGTTTCATGTCGTCTACCTGCTGTGCGAAGTGAAAGAAGATCGATCGAAGCGCAAGCCAGATGACCTGGAAACCAAGCCAGATCCGGAAACAAACGGCCGGCTCATTCGAAAGAACGGCGTATGTGCCGAGAAGGGAAGTAATGCAAACGGCGGCGCCTATAATCCAGAATATCTGCCACGCGCGACCTCTGCGAAGGTTGACAGGTACCCCGAGGAGAATCCTGCGCTCTCCCCCAATCACTTGCGGTGTAGGCAGCGACCCAGAGACGACATCAAAATGTCTTGACTGCTCGCCAGGTGTTGTAGCTCTTCCGACGTGAAACAACTGCAACGCGATCGCCGAGAAGAAGGTGTACGCTCAGATGACTCCAGTAACCAGGAAGACGCGTCGAGAGCCGAAGTGGTAGAGCAGATACATCTCTACGACCTTCAGCAAGGTTGCAAACGTAATAATCCAGTCGTTTCTGGTCTGTGAGCGTTGTACAATCTCCCAGTAATGATCTCGCATGTAGACGTGAGCTTGTAGATGCTCCCCAGGTTGCATTACTGCACAAGATCGCAACGGGCCGGCCGTCCATTCATCGAAAGCGTAAACATCTTCGAAATCTTCGCTCCCAGCGGTTATCAAAGTAGAACCTTCGCTGGTCTGAAGTCGATTAGACATGTCCTCGTATGTGCTTCTTAATTTTGACTTACCTTGGTCCATTTCACCGTCACTCCAACAGCACTGCCAGTGACTACGCGACTGTTTGCCTTCCTACTCAGACTCATGCAACACCCAATAGCCTTATCAGAGCCACTGGTTCTCACACCAACGGTATCTCGAAGCCATCCTGGTGTGCAGGCGGATATGCATGCTTTGACGATGAAGATCGACCCAAAGGAGCTCAAAGCCGCCCATGGCAAACCGCAAGCGCCGCGATTCCCTAGAGCAATCAATTCAGCAGTCGAGCCCCCGATCACAGCAGTCAGAGCCGCGATCTCGACCAGACCGCCGCTGAAGTCCACCTCCTCTCCTTCGTCTAGGCTGCTAGCGCATACATGGAACATGATGGCGACAGTGGGTGGTTGTCTTGCGCTGCGGAATGGAAATGAGGCGATGCGACGCTTTTATGATCCAGCTGGCACCGGTTCCGGTGTATGATGCAGCCTGGCGTGATGCCCGTTCAGCTTCGGAGGGGTAGTTGTGGCTGGTCTGTACAGGCTCTCATTCGTCTGCGTCAGCATACACAGCTCTTGGCTGCATTCGCAGTCGCAAGTATACTGGTTCGCTGTGAACAGGCTTGCCGCCTATGGAGTCGTCGGCAGCTCTTGCAGACATCCTAAGCTGCACCTATCCTCTTTGCGATAGCGACAGGCGCAATGAGGGAAGCTTATGTAAATTACACAGTCTAGGCAGCTTGTGCGCGTCAAGCCATTGCCCGTCTATCCGACGCGTCAAGCCTCGTGGCACAGCAGCGGCGGCATCAGGCAGGTCGCACTCATCGCAGCTGTCATCGCGACGATTCGCGAAGACGTGTTGCAGCACTAATCGGAGTGCGGTCTGGTCGCGATGGCGGTATACGTTGTCACGCAGAGCATTGTTGAAGTGGCGAGGAAAGGTTGAGACGGGTCCATTGTTGGTGAGGCGAGGTGTTGAGATGTTGGGACGTGCCTTTTCAGGTGCCCGAATCGCCGCACGCACCTTCACGCCAACGCAACAGGCTTACAATCTTCGTCTAACTCACACAAATCGTATCGCCACTTTCGCCTCGCATGCTCGCAACAGCACTTCGATCGACATACTTGGGTCTTTGGAGGACGACCTCAAACAATACAACGGTCACTGCAGGGTACTGTGTTTTCCTAATCTGCATTACATTACGACTACCACATGCAATGCCTTCTGAACAACTTCCCAGCTTGTATGCAATTAGATATACAAGATTGCCGCCAACAGAATGCAGGAAACCAACAAACCAAACTGCCCAGCGTATGACTGTACCGCTGATCCTACGAAAACCTGCCGACGCTGCTGAGCCTGATGTTGAGTCGGCACACTCTGAGGATTGCGGAAGACATTATCAGGATCGACCGCAGCCTTGATCTGCTGCAAGCGAGGCACATTGCCGCCCCAGTAGGCCTGCTGAGGGTCCGCAAGCTCAGGATCGACGTAGCCTGGGTACGCGCCTTGATCGCACGTCTCCTTCTGCACCAAGCTGCTAAGACCAGACAAGAACGTCTTGGACGCGTCGGTGACGGGGCCCCCAAGATTGACGACATAACTCTGCATGAAGTAGGCGGCGTCGCGGTGCCAGTATGCGGTAGCGGTCTGCGGTACATCGGCGATGGCGCCGCCTTCGAGATCCCAAATGACGAGCCACACGGGCGCTCCCTTCTCAGTGCCATTGATGTAGGAGAACATGGATTTGATGGCTTCGTCCGACAGCAGTTTGTGACTTGGCGTCTTGACACTCTTGGCGTAGAAAGGGATGGGGAAGCTGCCGCTGGCTGTCAGGTCTGGGTCGCCGAGTCCTGGGAACGGAAGCTCGCCAACGGTGATGTCGACAACGACGGTTGAGGTATTAGAAGGAAGAATAGACTGCGCATTCAGCTTATCGAAGTCGGACTTTGGGCCGTAGAAGTTTCCGTTGATGACCATCGAGCCCTGACTGAGAGTCATAGTGCTGGAAAACCGGCGGTCGAGGTTCTTCTGCGTGCCAAACTTCTGCCATTTTTGGAATGTGCTTGCGAAGGCATTCGCGTCGTCGGCCGCGATGGTGTACGCGTACTTGGTAATCTCGGTCGGCGCGGGTGCAGTCTTCATGGTGAACTCTGTGACAATAGCGAAAGAGAAACCGGCGCCTCGGATGGCGAAGAACAAGTCGGGGTTTGTGTTTGCACTAGCTGTCACGGCGGTGCCGTTTGCGAGCACACATTGCGCTGACACGATTTGATCAGCTCCAACGCCCAGCTGGCGACTGAGCGTTCCGAGACCTCCAATGGTCAAGTGGCCACCCGTGCCGATGACGGCTACTTCACCGTATGCCATAACCCGCTTGAGAGGTAGAAGCTTCTCGGAGATGTTGCCGAGGAGGTTTCCCTGTGAAAGGTGCGCACGTCAGCGAATGTACAACAAAGGGTTTTCATTACAGGTGTAGTGTCAGGAGGTCACTCACTGGACCAAAAGTCACCGTGTGGTCACCCTCGTTGTACGAGAAAGATGCCATATTCTTCATGTCTACGACCAACGAGCCATTGAACCCTCCTAGTGCTATATGCCGCGTTTGTGTTAGCAAGTTCTTAATCACAACTCGTCCTTCTGGGTTCAGGCTTACCATAGTTCGCATAGCTATGACCGCCGCTGCGCGCCTGTACTGCAACTCCTGCGGCGTTCGCACACTTCACGACTTCAGATACTTGCTCTTGCGTCTTTGGGAATGAAATTGCGGCCGGAACGATGTTGTAGTTAAGATTGTAGGGGTGTACATCTCCCTGCAAGAACATTGGGTCGTTCGGCAGCATCCAAGTGCTGGTATCGTTGCTGAGGGCCGTTTGGAGGCATTGCACGAATGGGGCGTTCTGGGCTGTAGCAGCAGTCGCGGCCGTCAAAACGGTCGCCACCAAGAGGTTCTTCATCGTCGAAACCGATGGTGAGGCTGAGATATGGTAAGGACTGTTGGTGGGCGAGTATGGCGAAATAGAGAGATGACAAATTCTTGAAGCGAGCGGATGAAGAAGAACTTAAGGAAAAGAGCCCTTAGAAAGGCAGTTCTATCATCTTATGTCGAGAGACTTAGTCTGCTTGGTTTGTCGCCCAAGCCTCAAGCCTTAATCCAGGATGTCCAGGTAATCTTACATACCGCCGTCTCCGACGTCAGCCCTCCATCGCTCAACGACAATGCCTCCGGTAACCTCCGCACAGCACGAAGAGTAGACTGCATCTTCAACGCAGACTGAGTTTTAGTTTCGGTTAGCACTGGTCCTTCCAGCTGCCATGTGGCAGGCGCAGAGTCTCGTACATCTCGAGACTGCAGCGTCTTCGCACCCGTGGACGTCATCGCCCTTGTGCGCGCCACCACGTTGATGCGCAACCAAGAAACGCACTTTCCGAAAGAACGACCGGTAAGCACCATGCTGACAGAACGAGGCTCAAGGCGGGCAAAGTAGTGGTTTTACTTCGGTGTTTGGGTTCGAGGCGCACTCTATTTATCAGGGGAACGTGTCTTCGACCAATCACGGAGGATCGCTGGAAAGATCCCCCGCGTTCCACATCCGCGCATTGACTCAACGCTGGCTCTTCCCTACCGGCACCATCCGGGCATTGAATTGCTTACTACGCTAGGTATGCCACGACTGTTTGGCAATATAGCAAGTTCCTTCTCATCCCGACACCGCCGTCGTGGACAGAGGCTCAGCGCTGCTTGGTCGCGTCAGCGCAATGCGCGTCGCACGTGCAAAGATGACGGGCGTGCTCCTCAGCTGAAGCTCATCTTTCCAAGAGACCAGGGCTACCAGCTGTGGACGTGAACGACGTCGGCCTCGTGCCAGAACCCTAGCCTTAGGCACGCAGCACTCGCGCCGTATGTCTGACCGTGATGCGCACCCGTCCAGTCTGCTTCTAGTACAGTAGATGGAGATGGACGACCGCGAGGCTACGTAAAGCCAACAACACGCCGCCGCCCATTGTCGCAACGAAACACAGACGTCAGCTGCAACGAACGCAGTCGAAAGATCGCCGGACTGAAGATGCCTCGCCACAATAATAGAGGACGACAGGCTTGCGCGCGCACTCGAGTCACGTCTTTCTGGGGGATCTTATGGCGGGCTCTCCCGTGAGCGTCCTCTGTTGCCAACAACAAAGCACACGATGCGCTCCCGGTGCAAGTCCACGGCCCGACACGAACGTTGAGGATCGGGCGAAATGGAGCCGACATAATACCCGATGGTCGACAGAACGCTTCCGGTAGATGCCGTTGATGTAAGCATGCCAACATCGGACGTCCTCGTCGGCGGTTCACAGAAATGCAGTCAGGGAACAATATATCGCTTTCTTCAAGATCACTATCTAGTATGCTCACAAACTTTGCCGACTGTATCACGAGTAGAAGATGACGAGGGTCACTATCGAAAAGAACCAGACACGGCGAGTTCCGTTTCTTTTCGCTCTGGAGAAAGCGATGATCACATTGGAACTCTAGTAGGATTTACAGCTATGAAATGTATCAACTCGCTTTTCTGGCGTGACTTCTCGCCTCCTACTTCACCCCATTCCCCTCATCCTTCTTCTCCGGCGTAGGCGCAAACTTCGAGCGTTCCCTAATCGGGCCACCATATTTATAAAACACAAACGGAATAGGCGCAAGCACGCACGCCATACCAGCAATAAGCGAGCCACCACCACCAACACCAAGAGCGTCGAACATGTACTGTGTGAACAACGGCGCAGCAGCTCCTGCGGCGGAGCGCACAACGGTATTCGCTGCCAACGCGCTCGCAGCGTACATGAGGTACGTGTCGGTGAGGTAATTGAGATACGCGACGAAGATCAACAAGATAGAAGTCGAGAGGAAAACACCGCCGAGCGTAGGAACGACCCAGTGAACGCTATTGTACTCAGCCGACCACGCGAACCAGAACATGGTGATGGGGAACATGACGCCGCCGAGCATGGCTACGGGAAGACGGTCTTCGGGTGTGGCTTTGTAGCCGGCTTCTGCTCTTTTTCTGTCCCGGGCTGTGTTCGCGAAGATGATGGCGCCGCCGATGGCGGCACCGAGGGCGGATCCGATGAGCGGGAGTTCGCCGACGCCGGAGTTCCAGCCGCGGTGTTGTTGGAAGACGATTGGGTAGATGGTGAAGAGCATGTACAGCAGGGCGTATACGACTGCGAGATAGATGGCGACGGCGAAGGAGATGGGGTCGATGAGGATCTTCCACGGTCGGGTGAGGGCAACATGGAACATGCCTGCGAGGGTCCTATCCGTCACTTCAACTGGTGCCTTGACCTGTTCATAGCCAGGGATCTTCAGGGCGCGTATGCGCTTGGCTTTGTTGCGGAGCACGATTGAGGGCAATGTCTCCGGAATCGTGAACATTAGTATCTCAGTAAAGGCACCTAGCCAGAGAAGGACGTAAAAGCACCATCGCCAGTCTTTCTTCAGTTGGAGAAAGCCTGATATGACGGGTCCGAGCGATGGACCGATGAAAGTCATCATGGAGAAGGCAGCCATTGCGTTTCCACGCTCGAGAGGTCCCCAGATGTCCGCCAGTACGCCTGGTGCATTGGAGAGAGGAGCACTTGCAAAGGTACCCGTCAAGAACCGTCCCACCAGGAGCCCACCAAAGTTAGGCGTGAACGCGCAAAGGAAGTTGAAGGCCAGGTAGAGCGTAAAGGTAACGTAGAAGATGTATCGGCGACCGAAGAATTCTGAGAGCGGAGCAAACACCAGAGGACCAGCGCAGTACCCCAGGAGAAATAAGGTGATAACGAGCCCCCCAGCCTCGGTGGAGACGTGCAAGTCTGTCGATAGAGACTCAAGCGTACCAGATGGGCTGGACGAAGCGAATGTGGCGTTCACAACTAGGGTGACCGACACCACGGTGATGTACCATCTTCTTGCGGTGGACCAGTTCTTAGGGTTCTCGATATCATTGGGGCCGAACTCAAGCAACCCTTCATCGTTGAGGTGTATTTCTTCGGAGGCTTCTATGTCGCCGGTCTTGTATGGCTTCGCTGTCGGCCGCGACAAGAATCGCTCGAGCTTCTCCATGATTGACGATTAGGATAGGGTGTGGGGAGAAGGCACAGGTGGAAACAAGCCTTTCTCCACGGCTTGGTGCGTTATACATAGGCCTATTCAAGCCACACTGCTGCGCGGATGATGAAATGGGTTCGGCCGAGGCCATGGTTGGTAAGGGTTCGGAGCTCGTCATTCCGCGGAGGGCGCCAACCGAGCGTCCGCATAAATCCACAGCGTCATCGAATCATGGAGGTCGGTCCAACGTCAGCTCTGACTTTGAAGCTGTATGTTTCTGAATTGTAACCCATGAGTTGAACTGCGACGACTCCATACCCACATGTAAGCCAATGCTGATGGGTCAGAGTGGTCGGAGGGTCGCGACGTGAGTGGAAATGTGAAGGACTTTGGCGCAGTTAAGCGGTTCTCGGAGATAATGAACGATGACATCAACAGGTTGCCGCGCCCCAATTTTCGGCTATGCTTTTTCTTGTTCTCTACACAACAGACATTCGAGGTCATCCGTCTTGCGCGCAAAACATTGACGATGATGTTCTATAAATGCCCTTGTGGGAATGGAAACCTAGTGCTGCTCAAATCGCGCTTCTACGAAACAACTGGTCGCACAGGAAGATCCAACAGCATGCCACACGGATGTTAGCTTAGGCGTCCAAGCTAAGGGAGAGAAAAGGACGGGGTGCGCGGAAGGGTGGAGCTGAATGGTGGAGCGGAAGCGCGGCCGGCTTATGGCTTTGGGGGTGGATGCAGGTGGATGGTCCACCTCAAGCTGTCGTACTTCAGGCGCGCTGCAAGCCTTGAGCAGGGTCCGCATCGTCGCTGTAATACCCATCATCGTCAGCGCTCGCTCGTCCGGTCAACTCGTACTCTCCAGCATCAGCCAACTTCGCCGCAGTGCTATCATCAACGTCCTTGAACATGCGATAGAACACAACCCCCGCAATACCAGCGATCAACGCCAATCCAAAGTACAACCACTGCAAGTGCGGGTCTCTTGCCAACGGAGCAATCAAGATACCCAGAGCGCTTCCACCCGCGCTTGTGAGCAGGAAGAGACTCATGATGAAGCTCTTCATATTTTCCGGTGCCTTCGCATATGCCAGTTCCAGGCCGGTGACGCTAGCGAGGATCTCGCTCAGCGCGATCAGCACGTATGCTGGGGCTTGCCATGCGACGTGGACTTCGTTTGGTTTGAACTTCCCTTCGCTGATCTTTCCCGCGTCGCAGTTCGATGGGCTGAAGTAGCAAAGTGGTGCCGCGTAGATCTTTGACTGGAGAGCGCCTGCGTATAGCATGGCGAGCGCGGCCATGAGGAAACCGAGAGAGATGCGTGTTATTGGCATCAATGCGATGTGTAGTCGTGTACGGATGAACGGGTAGACGAGGCGGTCCATGATTGGGATGAGGAGAATGATGGTGACGGGATCGATGTTGGGAAGGATGTCGTTGGGAAGGCCATGCAACTCCATTTGGCCGGCTTGCGAGACGAAATTGTTCAGCATCTGCGAGTACGAGAGCCAGTAGATTGGGAAGAACAAGAAGACTTTGCATGCGACCAGCGCGGTCTTCAACTCGTCGATGAACTTGTCGTCCCAAGTCACCTTTGACCTGCTTCTTCCGTGCCCTTGAGCGGATGCTTTCGCTTTGTCAAGATCTCCGCCGTTCCTTGCGGCGATGTATAGGGCGCGAAAGCAGTTTCCAATCACGCCACCTTGAGGTGGCTTGATGATGTACTGCTTCCTTCCTCTCACCAACACCACATAGCCCACGCAGAACATAACCAATGGTAGAAGATAAGCACTCCAGAATCCAACATGCAACTCCAACATAGTCGTTGCGATCGCAGAAATCGAGCCCACATTGATGCACATGTAGAATATCATGTAGATCCTCTGTACCGTGATCTCTGGATCGACAATGACGCGCTTTCCTCCGGGCAAGTCCTTAACGAAAGGTTTGTTGGACCGCACTTGCTCCGCGATCAACGGCGACACATTGCTCTTAATGCCACCAGTACCCAGGCCGATGACCAGCATGGCGACAATAAGTCCAGGGTATGCGGCTCCGCCTCGAACCGCCCACGGCAAGCTGGTAACGAAGAGAATGGCGATGCCGACCATGTACACCAGACTGAACCACTTAATCGTCGCATACTTCCCCAGATACTGGTCCGCAACAACGGCGCCAAATAGAGGCGTGAGGTAGCACCAGAATTGGAAGAAGTTCGTCATCGCTGTCGCGCCACTTTGCTTCAAGCCAAGAGCGCCAGGTAGGCCATTGGGGTCGTTGTATTCGTTGGCGATGTAGTTCTGGAAGGGCCCGGAGAGTCCGTAGTAGGCGAAGCGCTCACAGAGCTCAACAACGGCGACTAGGAAAGCGCCATATGGCAACGTATCCGCTACGCGAGGCAGAAATAGCAGATCCTCTGCCGTCGGTATGGAGCCAATATGAACAGGCGCTTCAAAAGGAACGGCATCCGCGTCTTCATTTGCAACGTCTTTGCCATGTACCGTGAGGTTTGCACTTGCGGTCTCGGTCTGCGCAACAGTCGTGTAGGCACCCCGCTCTTTACCATTCTGTCGCCAAGATGAAGCCATCTTGAATTGAGTTGTTCGATCAGGTGTTCCTTGGTTATGCTCTCTTGGTGCTTGGTGGTCCTATTCACTTGATTGGGACCCGTCACGGCGATCAAAGTCTCTTGCTGCTATATCCTGTGCGCACGCTCATGGCATGGTCGGAATGCGTATTGCGTTCATGGCGGCGCGGTATTGCCTGAAATATGGAGACTGAGCCGTGAGTTGATGAGATTGGAGATGAAGACACGCGTTCGCGGCCTCGGGAAGGTGAGACGGTGCTCGTGTCCGGTCTAGGCCGGATCGGTTGCTGAATACCCCACAACACATCACAACCGTTCAAAGCCATGCCTTTCGCAATCGCACATGAACGATCATATTTAAATGCAGTTAGGACTGATAGCTATCGCGAGCTGGGCATGCTACTAGTGGGCAAATATTGCTTCTGCCAAATATTCTTGCTCAAGAAGAAAGGCCCGGAGGTACAGTTAATAGAATCGCGATCGCCCTTCGAAGCGGACTTGAAGGGTGCGCGACAGCCCAGCGAAAGCGAATCAAGGCCTTTGCATCAAACGCATTTGATCGAGTGCCGACCACAGTTTAATGCGCCCCAACTACCTCTTAGCAAATCAATCCTCCTGCGTATCGGTAGCCTAGCCCCTCAAGCCACCATCCCCTCCTCTTCTCGAACAGCCCCCTACCTAGGCGTAGCAGGCGGCGTCATCACCCCACCTCCACCGCCACCCGCAATCATACCATCACCCTCACGCGCCTCACATTGCGACACATGGAAAGCCCTCAGTACGTTCTTGTTCTCCGAGAACTCCTCCCACGCACCCTCATCCTTTAGTATGGCAGGCATCCTCATTCTTACACACTCGATGATGGCTTTGCGCAGTCCGCGGTCGTTTTCTGGGCATTGCTCGTGGTAGATGCATGTAGCCAGGTCGACGATCATGAGTGGGTCGGTTATGAAGGGGAGGCGGTCGATGATGGCTTCGGCCGCGCGGCGCTTGATGTTCTCAAGGTTGTACTGGGTTGGGGGTTAGTATGAAGGTAGGGAAAGAGAGGTACGAGAGCAGTTGCCTTGTCCGCAGCGATGAAAAGGTCCAGGAGCTGGTTCATCATGAGTTCCTTCTCGATCTCCATACGAAGCGCGAAGTTGGTGAAGATAGATCCAGTTGTGGGGTTGTAGACACCGTACATCTCGTCGAGGAGTGTGGATACGACTTGTGCTGATTCTGGAAGCTCGATGGACTGCTTCGCGGTCTCAGAGAAGCCACCGCTGCATACCGCCCTGAAATAGTACGACTCTTTGCAAAGCTTCACGCGATGGACGCGGAACTGACTGCCACCCGCGAAAATGGTGAAGTCTGACCATTCACCCGTCTTCCGTAGACGAGGCCACTCAGACGAATCAGCAGGGACCGCCATCCAAGGCTGCGGAGCTCGGCTCGTGAAGCCCTGCTGTTCCATGTCGAAGTCGCGCTTGACGAATGCGACCTTTCTACCGGCAATGTTAGTCTCAGACACGGCATCGAGTGCGGGATGGTGCCTACTGTGGAACTTCATAGCTGTAGAAGAAATGGTTGCCAGCCGCCGTCGCAATATCCTCCAGCACATCTAGGAAGCTACGAGCTTGGTCCGGTGCCGCAAACTCCAGATCGACTTGAAGGTGCTGGAAGAGGATCGAGACCTTTTTGCTCTTGTCGCGCCAGGCTGCTGCGCGGGCGCTCTTGGCCTCGAAGTATATTGGCTCATTGGTTTCGGGGAAGCGGAGGACTGATACGATGCTAGAGGAGGTGTATTTGAGGAAGCCAAACTCAGCGTTGGCGCGGTCGAGGAAGAGGGCTGTAGGACCAATGGTCTTCTGCTCCTGGCAAATGGAGAAGGACTGGAGCCGCCAGAGAACTGACTTGGAGTCCTCGGCGATGGACTTCGGGAAGGGAGGCATGGTGATGCGAAATGTTGAAGACCGTGCGAGAGATGCGGTGATATATGGATCAAAGGGTCGTTGGTGTGAGGAAGGTGTATAAGATCAATAACGAGAGTCGACTTTGGGGCGAACTGTTTCCAGTACCAGCTTTGCGGTGATGAGGATAGCGGTTCTGTTAGCGGTGAGCAGTGAGCGATGAGCGGAGATTGTCGCGACAGCATCGCTACAGGAACCCAAGGGTCTGCCTAATCCGCTTACTCGATTAAGCGACTGTCGTAAGTTCAGCGTGATGATTAGATTCAAGAGTTGTATATCAATTGCGTCCATTGGGAGGCGTAGGATGAAATCGATTATTATATTGCGACTCGGTGCTATCAAAGCCGTGGGCAAAGCCGAACCCTACAATCAGTTCCTTTGATCATTTGAATCCGACACTCCGTGCCAGAGGTTATGCCGTGATATTTAACGCGCCCTTGAACGCCGATGATCCATATGTTGTACAGTAAATTCGGGAGAAGATCGTTGATATCGCACAACGCTGAGCTTGTGATCAAGCTTACCAGGTCGTCGCGACCTGCGGGTATTCCTTCTTGCTGATCTTCAGGTCGTCATAGACAGAGTCGTCACCTAAGACTTGATTAGCACACATCACACTTGCCAGCAACTGAACAACGTACCGTGAAGATGCTCGACGCGCAGCTCATCCTCGTGTTCAAGCTTCTCAATCTCCTCTTGTGGTGTCTCCTTATCGTGCTTCTGGTCCTTGGTAGTCGGCTCAACGCCACTCTCCATCTTCTCGCCGATGAGCAAGATCTGGCAGTACTCATAGTCCAGGTACTTCGGCTTGACTTCGACCCAAGCCAGTCCGCGGAACTCCTCGATGAACCTGGCAATGATCAGTCATGGATAATCAGGCATATCGGGATCACTTACTCCTTGGGAAAGTCGGGCTTCTGAGGAAGCTGGGCAGAAGCCGGCCCGCTGCGCTCAGGGTTCTTGACGCTCATGACGAAGCTGCCCTGGTCCTTGATACCCAGGTCTTCTTGAACTTCTCCAAGCTCGGAAGGTATGGTGGTAGAGTATACGAGATGGCACGTCCGGTCTTCAGTGCGCGTAATCGCATACACGCCTTCCGCTACCGGTGCCACGGGCTCGGTGCGTCGACTGCCTTGTGTCTTCGTCTCGTACTCGTCCGCACCAAAGAAGCTCTCCTTCAGCTCTTTGATGGAAGTGTTCGCCTTTTCGACAAATGCCATGAACTTATCATTGTGCGACTTCGGGAAGACCTTCTTGGGTAGCGCAAAGAGTCGGATGTTGTTGTCGTCAGCGAGGGCACCATCGCCTAGCTTGGCTCCGGATGGCATTGGCCGGAGGACGAAGAAGGTGCGTTGAAGGTCGCCGACGCTTTCAGATTCCTCGACACCGACGCGATTGCGGGTGAAGAAGTAGATAACGCCCTTCTCGAGGATGTTGGACGGCATTTGCTTTGCGCGCTGGGAGGACTCCTCGATCGCGCCTTCGCCATCCGCACCAGTCTCCTTTGTCACGTTGTCCGCTTTGTCCTCGCTCTTCTCTGTCTGTGTAGTCTCTTCGGCTTTGGGGGCGGCGTCGGTGTCTTGTTCCGCCTGGTCGTCCGCAGTCTCCATATCAGTTGATGCAGGCTTGTCGTCGTCACCAGTGGCCAACGCCGTCGCGTCGCTTGCATCAACCAGATCTTCAGCGGCCTTCTTCTCAGCCTCCTCTGCGTCTTTCGAGTCTTGGCCTCCATCAGAGGCGTCCTTCATCTCGCTGTCAGACTCCTTGTTGGTGTCCATTGTCTCTTCGATGGTGGCTTGTTTCTTGGACGCCTTGCGGTCGCGCTTCGGAGACGGCTCGACTTCAGGCTTACGCTTGGTACCGGCTGCGACATCGTTACCCTTTGCTGGGCTAGAGCCACCGTCGGTGCTGCGTGCAGAGGAGCGTGTTCCTGCCATTGTGGATGCAGTGAGGTCAATTGAGTGAATTGGTGTAGATTATTGAAGATATGAGTGAAAGTATGGGAGACAAATTGGGGGAGTGATGAAAGGGGCTGTTGTTTGCGCGCGCTGGTGGTTTGTGGCAGGCGCGTCGCGTGAAATGGTGACGTCAATGGCAGTCATTAGCACATCGACGCGTCAGGAAGGCACGTGCAGCGTTGGACCATGAGACGGAAGCCGCGAGCGGTCATGAGCGATGATTTGAGAGCGCGTGAAATATCCTCGCGCATTCACGTGCTTGACGTAGCAAACCTATCGAAGCTGATATACAAGGCCTTCGTATCGTACATCCTCTCATCGAACGCACCCCGGTCTACGTAGACGAAGCCACAACGAGGTTTGCTTATTCGTGCCTCTCGAGAAAGGCGTGAATACCGTCGGCGATGCCCTCCGGACTTGGCTTCTCAGCGCATACATCAGGAGTGAAGCCGAACTCCTGCTTCAGATAATCGCGTGTGGTCGGACCGATGGTGCATATCAGGATGTCTCTCTGATCAGCAGTAGCCTTGGCTTTCCCAGTCTCTATGTCGAGCAGACCAAGGCTCTCGAGCATGGCCTGACATCCGCTTGGAGAAAACACAACGACCCACTGCCGTTTCGAGCCCTGATCCGCGTTTCTGCGCCAAATTGTCGAAAAGTCCTCCTTGAAAGACTGCATCTCTCCAGTCTCGTATATAACCAACTCATCTACTCTTGCCCTCTCTTTTGGGTCCAACTCTTCTGACTGCAGGGTCTTTGGTATTATATCCCTCCTCTTATCGCCGACCATGAACAGTACGGGTGGATTCGCAACACCCGGATAAAGGGCGTTGTAATGCTTCAAGATGAAGCCAGCCAGAGCTTCGCCGTTGCCGGTTTCCTCTCCCAGGATTGGACACTTAAGACCCAGTGATCGCAGTCCACGAGCGGTAGCTGGGCCTACCACGTACAGCGGCAGACTTTCTGGCAGCAGGTCGTCGATGTCGAGGGCGCCTTCTCTACGGATTTCCCCGACAACCTCGCTGAAGGCTTCGACTGCACGCTGCGAGGTGAAGATCAGCGCACCATATGTCGCGAGACCCTGCTGCGCTTGTGGCACGAAGCCGCGATCGGTGACATGTTGGCGCACCTCACGCAGGGCATCTCGCTTGAACCTGTGCTCCAGGACGGGCACGAAGACGGGCGCATAGCTGCCGTCGTCGAGCTCAAGGAAAAGCTCTTCGTACGTGTCTTTGGGCACTGACTTGGTCTTGAGCAGCAGAATGGGGATGCTGCCCCGCGATTGTTCCGCCATAGCCGTGGTTTGGTGTGTGCGTGGTCGAGGCCCCGAGTGAAGGGTCAGGACTGCGGGCGGCACACTAGGCCGCCCGCTAAACATCGGGAAAAGTTGCCAGCATCCGTGGTTCACTCGAGACCCTCGAATTTAATAGTTGTCCTCCCACCGCCTGCACGCCTCGCCTGCACATCCACGACTCGGCGGTCTACCCAGATCTCGCAGACCTCTCTCCCCCGCTGCAACTCCCAGTCAGCCCCTCAACCCAATTGACTGCACAGCAAACATGGCCGACGTCGCAACTCCACCCGCCGCCCAGGCCTCGACCAACGGCGCTGCTGCCCCTCCGGCGAAGCAGCAGGTTGTCAAGCCCGACAAGCCCGACGAGGACAAGTACAAGGAGGAGCTCGCCAAGCTGGAGAAGGAGCACGCCGCCGCCCAGGAGAAGCTGGTGAGTACACGTCCCCGTGTGGTGCGCGCAGTCGCACGGCCACGAGCTGACGGGTGGCTGCATCGCACACCACCATTCAATTCGGGAAAATTACTAACGACGGCCAGAACGCGTGCAAGGCCAAGCTCGACCTCGCCAAGCCCAACAACAAGGACTCGCCCAACGCGAAGCGCCAGCAGGAGCTCAAGACGGAGCTCAACGCCATCCGCTCCACCCAGCAGGGCAACAAGTCCGGCCGCAACTCCATCTTCGAGAAGATCAAGAAGCTCGACGAGCAGCTTAAGCAGCAGCTCAACGAGCTCAAGACGGCCAAGGGCAAGTCCAACTACAAGTCGGCCGAGGATGTGGACCAGGAGATTGCCCGTCTGCAGAAGCAGGTCGACGGCGGCATGATGAAGCTCGTCGACGAGAAGAAGGCCCTGGCCGAGATCAGCGCCCTCAACAAGGCCAAGAAGAACTTCTCCGGCTTCGACTCCCAGCAGAAGAAGATCGACGACATCAAGGCCCAGATCGCCGAGCAGAAGAAGCTGCTGGACGACCCGGAGAACAAGGCCCTCTCCGAGAAGTACACCAAGCTCCAGACTGAGCTCGACGGACTCAAGGCTGAGCAAGACGAGGCCTTCAAGAACCTGAGGTCACTCCGTGAGGAGACCGACAAGGCGCGCGCAGTGCAGCAGGAGAAGTACCAGGCCCGCAAGGAGCTCAAGGACAACTACTTCCAGCAGCTCCGTGCGTTCAAGAACTACGAGTTCGAGGCGCGCAAGATCCGCAACGAGAAGAGGCGCCTCGAGCAGCTCCAGTACGTCGCCGGCAAGCGCAAGGAGACTGCTTCCAAGCGTCTTGAGGAAGCCAGCGCACCCGCCTACGGCGACGAGATCATTGCCTGCGAGGGCTTGATCCGCCATTTCGACCCTTCCGCACTCCCTGCGAAGGAGACCACCGCTGCCAGCAAGTTCGCCGCCTCCGCTCAGCGCACCGTCGACGACTCGGGCCTCAAGGGTACCCGCATATCGAAGAAGGACACCGAGGAGGAGAGCTACATGGCCGGTACCGGTGGCAAGAAGGGAAAGAAGGGCAAGAAGGGTGGTGCCGCTGCTAGCAAGTTCAACTTGAACATTGGCATCATCGAGGAGCTCGCCAAGGTCGGCGTCGACCCCCCATCAAGCCAGGACGAAGTCCCCGCCACCGTCGAGAAGCTCCAGGCCAAGCTTGCCCACTGGAAAGAGGACCAGGACCGCAAGACCAAGGAGGTGAGTGATTCTACATTTCACTGCGAGGATGCTGCTAACGAGTCTTCAGA